GCCATATGCCCTCAACATGGGAAAGGAGCCCATGTTGATGAAGACAAGGTCCTTCTACCCACATCAGGTCCCCAAGAGGATGTGAGGGTCTGTGGATGGCAGTGCCGTATCCAGGGTTTGGCACGTATTGCACTTGCCCTGGGTGCCGTTCTATGGGCCAGCGACAGTTCACCGACCCACGGAGATAGCAAACTTTTTTCTCTCCCCACCCATCTCCCATACACATCTCCCTGCCCAGCTCTTAGCAACCAGGGATGCTCTGGCCATCGTCCCACCCAGGTCCTGGCAACCAGTGACATCACTGTTTGCCAGGAGCTGGGTGAGACGCCGGCCAGAGCATCCCAGGTTGCAAAGAGCTGGGTGGGAAGATGTGTAAGAGCCATACACATGTCCTCACCTGGCTCTTAGTCACCTGAGCAGGCAGGGAGATGTGTATGCGGGTGGGACGCTGGCCGGAGCGTTCCTGGTTGCTATGATCTTAGCAACCAGGGACACTCTGTTGCTTAGCAACCAGGGACGTTTTGGCCGGCGTCCCACCCAGCTCCTGGTAGACATGTGCGATTCGTTTAGTTACGAATCGAAATTCGTACGAATTTCCTGAAATTCGTAAATTCGGAAGCATCCGAAATCCGAATTGCAGTTTCCGAAATACGAAATTCCGTTAACGAATTTCGGATCCGAATTTCTTTGAAACGGGAACTAATATTACCCCTGTAAATGAGGTTGAACAACATGACAAGATTTTTTTTTTATCCGAAATACGAAATTCGGATCCGCTGATGCTGAGGGTTGCATTACAATACAGGCAGGAAATACGGATTTCCGTTAGTTTCGGCACATTTTCGTAACTTTACGAACATTCGTTATGATGAAGTTAAAAAGCAAAAATACCTTTGTTAATATTGGAGTCGATGGTAGTTTTTTTTTTTTATCCGAAATACGAAATTCGGATCCGAAAAAAAACTACCATCGACTCCAATATTAACAAAGGTATTTTTGCTTTTTAACTTCATCATAACGAATGTTCGTAAAGTTACGAAAATGTGCCGAAACTAACGAAAATTCGTATTTCGTACGAATCCGAATTGAGTTTCGGACACGAATTACGAAATAACGGATATTCCGAAACGAAACAATTTTTTTTGACCGCGCACAAGTCTAGCTCCTGGCAACTAGTGCTTTCACACGCTGCCATGAGCTGGGGGGGATGCCAGGGGTAAAATTTGTTGTAGATACGCCTATGGCAGAAGAGGAGTTTATCAGAATCTGAAAGCCCCCTTTAGAAAAAGGGGCCCTCAGATATCTGATTCCCCTCCTCCCCAGATGAATGAGTATGTAAATGGCAATGGAAATAAAGATAAATCCTAAAAAAATAAATAAACCCCCCAAAACAAGTCCCATGCTGCACGTTGATCTCCAATCACAGTGTCCATTGGTTCAGATCTTTGCCAATCACGGTGTCCATCGGTTCGGATCCACGACAATCACGTTGACCAGTCAATAGAAAAAATTTCTATCGAATAGAAAATACAACAAACAAATGGGTATTCCAGACCCTCGGAGTGTTGAGCCCCCAAAACATTTCTCGGGATTCTTTTTTTACATTTCATTTAAATTGTACTTTTTAATTTGTAATGAAATTGTGAATCCTGGAAGTCCTGTATTTAGGAGACCTCATCTCTGTATCTGTAAGCTTCTCCTTCTCCATCTATCTACAGAACGGCCGATGCGACAGATCTTCTGAGGAAGCATTTCTCGGGGTTCTTGTTTATAGGACAAATTAAAATGTTACTTTCCGATTTGTGAGGAAATTGTGAATTCTGAATATCCTCCTTGTAGGAAACATCTCTGTACCTTGTAGATAAGATGATCCTTTTCCTAACCTATCTACAGAATCATCTAGGCATCGACCTTCTGAAAAAGCATTTCACAGTTCTAAGGCTCTTACCATAAAGAATCATTGACACACATCTGGTGGTATTGCCCATCCCTTGGCCCCTTTTGGTCTGAGGTTTTTCAGCTTATCTCCACAATTACTCAGCTCCCCTGTGGCGTTTCCCCACAACTTGCCTTGTTAGGGGTAGGGTTGGAAGAGTGGCCACCAGCTTCCAGGACTGTTGTGTCTCATGTCCTCATAGCGGCTCGTCTCGCATTAGCGAGAGCGTGGAAACAATCAGAAACCCCTCCTTAAACACAGTCATACAGATTCTAAACACGAATGCACATTTTGAATTTCTGTTCGCCAAGGCTAACTGTAGACGCCATACTTTCACCTCGCGTTGGGCCTGCTGGTTGACAGACACCAGATGCTTGACACATATCATATGATGATTACCAGACCCGCATTCCCTCATTGGTAGAGACGCTCTCCACAAGCTCTAATTTTTACTTATTAAATAAAAAATTTAAAACACAAAAACATTGTTCATCCTCTCTGTATCACTGAGACTTTTAGACACCTCTCCCTGTGTAAGACTTTTTGTTTTTCTTTTTAGTTTCTGGGCATTCCAACCGATCGGTGTTGTAATATTTCCATGCACTGCTCATACCAACTCTGTACTTCATCTGCTGTACATGATACCTGTTGTATTGTTGTCCGATTTGTGCCCTGCCTTACGCATCTTGATTGTATACACCTATGAATTTGGGCATTGCCCTTCCTGTACTGTTGTATTGTTTTTGTCTGCGTTGCTATGATAAAAACTCAATAAATTCTTTGTTAAAAAAAAAAAAAGAATCTTTTTGGGAAGTTGAGATGAAATCTTTTTTGTTTGATACCAGCCGGGGGCAACTTTGTATCATCTATGGGAACCTAAAGCAATGTGATACTACAGGCAGGGCCGGATTTACTCTCTATGCTGCCCCAAGGCCAGGTTCCTCAATGAGCCCCCCTACCCACCAACCCCCCCCCATAGAGAATGGCAGACCTGCAGGCTAGGTGACATCGCCGATATCACTGGTACAAAACGAGCGGCGGCTTCCCCGCTATAAATTTAGCTCTGCTTGCCCAAAGCAGGGCTAAATGTAGAAAACAACTACCCACCTGGTGCCTGGCACAGCATGTCCTGGGCCCAGGGAGATATGAATTCCACACCCCTGCTGCCTCTCTACTCCCTGCTGCCCCAAGGCCCCGCCTTGGTTGGCCTTGTGGGAAAACTAGGGGCTTAATCTTAGCCCTAATTCACACTAGAAAAGGCCGGCACGTACAGCTCCGTGCTGCGTGCACGGCCGTATCGGGCAGCTCCCGGGAAGGACAGGTGCTGCGTGTGATTAGTACTCTTTCTCTATGGGAGTACGCTCACCCGTCCGCGCAGGTGCGGGTGTCCGTACTCGTACGCTGACAGGATGGATCCTGTCTGCGTCCTAGCCGCGACACCCGCACCTGTACGGACCTGCACTTGAGGTGAGCGTAGGGTGGCGTACTCCCATAGAGAAGGACAGGGGCTGCATACTAATCACACACAGCACCTGTCCTTCCCGGGAGCTGCCCGATACGGCCGTGCACGCAGCATGGAGCTGTATGTGCCGGCTGATTACAGTGTGAATGAGGGCTAAAAGAGTATAGGAGTTTCCTATACCCGTCAGCGCCGTCTAGGGGCGCTAGTGGCGTGCAAACAGGTAACATTAACGTTTTATGAAGCCCCTAGAAGTTTCTTTCACAACTCTCACCTTGATACAACATTAAAGTAAATAAGAGATAAAATAACATGCAGCGTGGTCTCTACACCTCTCACAGTATCATACAGAGCAGTTATCATTTGGCGGCAGAGCGATGTGTTTCCCTCTGTGAAATGGAAATCAGCTTCAGGTGTGTGTAAAGAACCCTTTGATGTTTGCAGACCAATATTGAGTGTCGGTGGGGCTCTTTACAGGGACCTCTCTCATCAAAATGCGCACGCGAAGGTTAAATGATTGCCATTGCGAGCAGCCGTATACATTATATATGAACTATTATCAGAAAATGATCTTTATCTAGACGGAGAGCGGTTCGGTGCTGCACTTGCACAGCTGATATCTGCCATCTACATGCATTTCCATTTCCTGTTTATATGTATTATAAGAGGAAGCAGAATAACAACAATTGAATGGAATCGGTGGAGGCAACGTACATCATTTCTCTATAAAACCGTCAGTACACTCAGGGCCGGATTTACTCTCTCTGCTGCCCCAAGGCCAGGTTCCTCAATGCGCCCCCCTACCCGCCA